ATCCTGCGTGACCCCGGTTGGGTCGTCTAGGTTGTCGTAGTGGAGGATGGGGGCCAGTGAGGCTGACGACAGAAGTCAAAATTGGGAGTAAACGACAAATAAAGGATAAAACAACGAAATACCGGATGGACGTGCTGCGTAGACGCTTGTGTACATTCCTATAAGGAGGACACCAGAACGGTATCTGACATCGGCATTGCAGGGATTCTTCGAGATTGGCGTGGGTACTCGCCTTCACACAGGAGCATGGGCACCTAGCCCGGCATGGGGGACAGTCATGAGGGTCGATGCAGACGAAGAAGACAAGATCGTATCGTATGACGTCCTCATCGACACGGAGTGTAGGGTGTCAACAGTGTCCGCTCGCAATGTGGAGATTGACGTGAAGCATGCGAGGGAGGTAGACAAGAGCAGTGCGGGTGCTCCCAGGAAGTCGGGGAGGGCGGGGCGGGGCCGACAAGAAAGGANGACGTCCTCATCGACACGGAGTGTAGGGTGTCAACAGTGTCCGCTCGCAATGTGGAGATTGACGTGAAGCATGCGAGGGAGGTAGACAAGAGCAGTGCGGGTGCTCCCAGGAAGTGGGGAGGGCGGGGCGGGGCCGACAAGAAAGGAAGGTCGGGAGTGGATGAGGGGTCGGAGCCCGGGGAGGGCAGGGAGGGCAGGAAGTCAGATGGGCAGAAAAGGTCGGAACGTGCAAAGGAAACAGCGAAGGGGAGCAGCAGGAAGGGCGGGCGCTTTACCGACGATGAGGATCCGGACGGGAAATCGAGCGGAGGTCAACGAGGCAACGACAAAAAGGTGAGACAGGCTTGCTACGGTCACCAACTTTGAATGGCAAGTGATGGAGGCACACGGTAATGCCGCTGCGATGCCGAATGATACGCCCAATGTCATTCGAGCGCGTCTTGTTTCGACGCAAGGGGGAGGGGGAATGCTGTCGACCATTGTTGATGGCTTTGTGGTTGTGTCCATTTCCCCGCTTCGTTGGTGTGCAGAGGAAGAAGGTGGGCGACCCTGATGAAGGCGAGGATTCCGACGATCTTGCCTCCGATAATGAAGACCTTGCCTCCGACCATGAAGACGACCGCGATGACGAAGACGATCGCGATGACGAAGACGACCGCGATGACGAAGACGACCGCGATGACGAAGAAGACCGCGATGACGAAGACGACCGCGATGACGAAGCCGACAGCAATGATGAAGACGACCAACAAGGCGGGATCAAGAAGGTGATCAAGAAGGTAAGCCCCGCTTGCGGCGGCCCCAACGTTTGCACTCGGAATGGACTAGGCAATACCAGTCCCGACAACGTATTTGGCCGGCTTGTGATTGGACTGCGCAATCTCGCGGTCCTTTGATGCGTGATGTATGCAGGAGCAGGAATGGGCCAGCGGTAAGAGCAAGGGCAAAGGGGCGGATAGTGGAACGGACGAAGACACGGACGAGGAAACTGGGCTGTGGGGGGACATAGATGACGGAGGAATTGCGCACCCTGGCCGCGCATTCGACGTGAAGGAGCCAGCCTACGACACGTGGGAGGCCGCATTGGCCACGGTCATCGGGGAGCTCGAAGAAGAAGGGCATCTAACCACTCAAAAGAAGAGGCGCAAGTTGGTGAGTTGAACAGATCTGGTGTTTCGATTGCACGGCGGTTCATTGTATAGCCCAGGGAAGCCACGATGTCACGTCTTCACTCTGAAACGTGCTGATGGAATCATTCGCGTTTCAACCGACGTTTCCCAATGCGTTCCCAATGAAATTGTTTTGCCTTCCGGTCTATGTGTCCGCAGACGACCGACAAGAGCAGGCACTACCTCTGCGAAATCGTCTGCAATCACTCGGGGGTGGCGCGTAGGAGTGCGCCCCAAGTGGGGAAGCAGAAGAGGATGCGGAAGAGTAACATGGTGCGTAACATAGTCTGAGGCTGTTGATGTTCAGAGCCGGAGTTCGCTGCGAGATTTTCGCGGGAGAGTGCGTCGGCCCCCTTTCAACACGCGTCGCGGGATACCCACATCTCTTGCGACGCATGTCCTGTGACTGTTCGTGGTGCAGATCAAGTGCCCTTTCAAGATCCACATGACGTGGCGAGTTGGGGCGACTAAACCCACCATGACGTCGGTGAGGATGGGAACTCGGGGTAGCCTATGTGCTCGTATCGTACCTCGCCCTTATTTTCTGCGCTGTAACGGCTACGTGACCTATATGGGGTACCTCTTTTCGTGATTGACGTGTTTTCTTCTTCGGGAAATTGTCGCCGGTCTTTTATCGTCCTTTTATTGTCGTTTATTCGTTTCGTTTCGTTTTTTGTGGTGTCGTCATCCGTTACTCCGTGTTTTTGTACTCCAACGAGTAATTCTTACGCCGTATTTTCTGATTTTCTTTTGATGTGACGGTCGTTCGTTCGACATGCTGGTGTGCATGCTAAGCGAGTGCCTCTCTGCGTATCCAAATACCAACCCTCAGGCCACACGAAATATCTACTTGAGCCGTGCGTGATGATGGCAAGCCTCGTCGCTGCCGTCAGGAAATCCCGTTTTCCCTGTTCCGACGGGCGTTGTTGCCGTCCTTGACTTTCCCGGTGCCTTTTTTGCCGTATTTTTGGGCGGTTCTTGTGCGTTTAACGTTCTTTTCTGATCTGATCGTGCGCGCTAGTCCTTCTGCAAGCACAACCACAATCCCCTGGGGAGCGTCTCAACGGCCCAGGCTAAAGTCCTGCCGCCCACAGTGGTCGACGAGAGACTCGATGACGTCCGCAAGTGGACGGCGGCTGGCGTCAAACCCACAGACATGTTCAGACTGCAGGAAATGGATTACGACGGTTTGCGCTTGGCGAAAGACGGGAAGCAGAAGGAAAATAGATTAGCTCGAGCTTTGCTGGCGGGCGCTGCGCATGGGCCGTTGCTGCAGTCGTCCAAAGCCAGAATGGGGAAGGGGGGGCGGGGGGGGTGGGGGGTTCGAGGGCGAGCAAATGTCGTACCCGTGCTTGGCGATCATGGGGTGTGAATGTCTGACAGGTAGAATCGCCCCCGATCACAAAAATCGCGCGAAACCGAACCTAAGCTGTACTGTTACATTACGACGTGGGTGTTATATGTCCGTTGATAAGTGGCCGACTTCCTGCACATTCCGAACGTTTTCCGAACCCTTCCAGGCGATTAACGCCATAAACAAGATTCGATACGAGTCATACTCCACGCCTGAGCATGGCGCCAATGTCCTCGCGAAGTTGGAAGCTGAGTCCGGGATGTTCGTCAAGCGCACTTTCGACAGCCTAGGGAGGATCGTTGATGTGTTCTGGGCCACCGTCGACCAACAGGACAAGATGGCGACGTTCGGCGGCTGTATCCAGATGGATACTACAGCGTTCACCAACAGGTACCTCCGACGGCGTGACTGCTGAAGCACGTTCTGCTCCGACCTCGTTGCTGTCGTTTCGAGTTGCCCTCTGTATGTTGAGCTTCGGTTGTCCTTACCTACGACCCGCTTCCCGCGTGCGCACGCCACACCTTTTATCTTCGTTCGGTATCTGCAGGTACGGGTGCCCACTCCTGTTCATAGTGGGCGTGGACGACGAAAACCGCTCGTGCGTCTTGGGACAGGGCGTGCTGCGGTCGGAAAGCACCGAAACCTTCAGTGGTTCTTGGACTCGTACGAGGAGCTGCTGGTGGACGGAGGCCAAAGGAGTGCTGAGCAACCCGAACCCTGTAGACAGTTGGAGCCTAGAGCTGTCCATGGTGGGCTTGGACGGATGTTTGGCATGCACAGTTGCCAGCTCCGGAGTCGCAAACGCGTATCCATTCGCACCTCTTTGTGTCTACGCCGACTTAGTACTCCCCCTACACGATATGCCAATGAAATAATGTTGTGGGGGCGTGTGTGCCTTCGTCTCTTCTTTCGTGCCGGATTCGTATAGGTCATGCTGACCGACGCAGACCAGGCCATGGCCGCGGCCTTGAGGGAGTGGAAGACCACCGTGCACCTGTGGTGCTTGTGGCATCTCAACAAGAACGTGGTCAAGCACTGTTCCTCGTCCTTTTCTGACACGAAGACACGGGAGAAGATGCTCCGTCTATTCAGAAGCGCTGCGTACGCCGCTACGCCGGAGTTGAGATTAGTGTGTGCTGCAGTTGCTTCTTATCGTGCGTTCTTCATGTTCTGCATTGCCGCCTCTGCCCCGATTACGTGAGTGGGTGATTTAACCTCGGCCACCTCGATCGTACGTTCGTTGCAGGCCTTCCCTACGTACCGGGCTGACCTGGAGAGGACCGTCAGGGGCAAGAAGTGTGACCAGTACATCCGGGACCTTCTCGAGTAAGTAATGGTGCCGTATATAAAATCAAGCGCGCGAGTCATGCTGCGTAACAGCCATGCAACTTGCTGCACCTGCTCCGTAGCAGAGGTGNAACCTCGGCCACCTCGATCGTACGTTCGTTGCAGGCCTTCCCTACGTACCGGGCTGACCTGGAGAGGACCGTCAGGGGCAAGAAGTGTGACCAGTACATCCGGGACCTTCTCGAGTAAGTAATGGTGCCGTATATAAAATCAAGCGCGCGAGTCATGCTGCGTAACAGCCATGCAACTTGCTGCACCTGCTCCGTAGCAGAGGTGGCCACAGACGTTTGCTATGCTCAGTCTTTTCGTCGGAAAATGTTGATCTCGTGCTGGTGCTCACAGGAGTGCAATTCACTTGCGGACATTCCGGTTGACCTCGTTCGTCCAGGGTTGCAAGCCCAGCCGTGAAAGCGGAGTTGGTTTCAGACGAAGCACTTGGAGGGGTTTCTCGCCCCGATCCCGGAGGAGGTCGAAAGTGTTGGCGCCAGCCAATACTGCCAACTAGTGATAACTTCGGAGAGTTTTCCGGTTTCCTTTTTCCTTCTTGTCCCTGCCGTCTGTAAGTTGAACATCCACGTTTCCCCGTGCGCAAGACAGTAACATGTGCGCAGTCGAAACATCTTCCCGTTTGGATCCCCTTCCTAGTGCGTACCGTACTGTTTTCCCGGGGAAGCAACCCTACCACATCACAGTGCGCCCCTGTCCACTGCACTCTGCAGGAGGCTAAGGACGAGCTCGGAGTTTCCCAGTCGTACGACGTAGAAGTCATCTGCGTAGGAGCGGCGGACGACGAAGGCCACCCCGTGCCTCTGGAGGGTGGTGTCCTGCGTCAACAGCTTGAGGCCGCACACTTCGACTTCAACCTTGGCGAGGAAGCGCCGCCCGACACTGACCTGGAAATCGACTGCAAGCTTGACCCTGAGGCTGAATCGACCGAAGACAACAGCGTTTGGGCGCGTACGTCTTTGGAGGCGCTGTTGGACCTCGTCAGCCGAGTTGCCGTCCATCTTGCCGCCGCCGTGCGGTAGAAGCTCACGCCTTCACGGCCGGGCCATGTTGTGGTATTCGGCCCGGGTGGCTTCTACTTGTGCTCTTGTGTGAAGCTTTTGCGCCACGGCCTGNGTGGTGTCCTGCGTCAACAGCTTGAGGCCGCACACTTCGACTTCAACCTTGGCGAGGAAGCGCCGCCCGACACTGACCTGGAAATCGACTGCAAGCTTGACCCTGAGGCTGAATCGACCGAAGACAACAGCGTTTGGGCGCGTACGTCTTTGGAGGCGCTGTTGGACCTCGTCAGCCGAGTTGCCNACCTCGTCAGCCGAGTTCCCGTCCATCTTGCCGCCGCCGTGCGGTAGAAGCTCACGCCTTCACGGCCGGGCCATGTTGTGGTATTCGGCCCGGGTGGCTTCTACTTGTGCTCTTGTGTGAAGCTTTTGCGCCACGGCCTGCCATGCAGGCACTACTTTGCCGTGCTAGTTCGCTTCATCGGCGGCAAGTACGGGGGAGTCATGCTTAACCACGAGTTCGACGGCAACAGCGTGCATACGCGCTGGCGGCAATCACCAGACGGCAGCGACGCGCCCTGGACCGTCTCCAGAGTGTTGGAAGGGGCAGGGCACGGCGACGGCTAGAATGGATGTGACCACGGCCAAGAAGACAACTTCTGCGGGCCGAAGTACGACGACGACGGCGGGGAGGGCGGCGTGCACCCCGCAGAACGTGCGGCAAAAGCAGCCGCGGAACGATCGGCGAGTGACCATTGCCGCGTGCTCGCGACTCTGATGGCCAAGAACAAGGAAAATGCCATCGAATAATGAGGACGGTTCCACACGCCAAAGCCTTGGAGATACAGGCTGAACTGGACAAGTGGGTGAGGTTCCAGCTTGTCGAAGCTACCGGCGAGAACAAGAGCGGGAATCCAGCGCAGGTAAAAGCGAAAGGGAGGCCTAAGAAATCCAAGTCGGGAGGATCAAAGCAGGACCGACACGATGACAACGGTGTGCCTGCCGACAGCGGGTCTGTTCAACCAGTCGGTAACCCGGAAGGGTGGAGGGACAAGAGCCGGGGGGAAAAGAGGATCAAAGACATCTCTGGTGCTGGAGCAAAGACCCGTCGGCCTACCAAAGAGAAAATGTCGTAGCGTACAACATGTAGTCCCTAGTAACAAATCAACGGCCGGGACACAGATAGTTCGAATCGTGTGCCCCCCTTGTCATCTCGTTCCCGGCGTTGCCAGTCCATATCACCTCTTGCGTACTAACGCTGCACAGCTACTAGCGGACGTTGCAGGCTAAGCCTGATGTTTGGAATTGCACACGACAAAATACGCGCTATGCGTGCTATCTGGCCTTATCTGTCTGCGCGTTTTTCGGTTTAACTCTCTGTCTTTTGTTATTTTTTTCGCTGGGCCGTGTTTATGTTGGGGCGTTCTTGTTTACCTACGTTATGCAGGCGCAGCTAATCGAGTGTTGGACCTGGTCGTTAGCGTTGAATACAATGTTAGTCTTGCACGCAATGTCTGTCAACATCCTCTCCAAAGCCTGGTCGTTGGGGTGCCCATTGTGTAGGCCGGCAACGCGAGGCGACCTCCCTCTGTGCCGTCGGTAGCAACACCGTGACTTCAACTCTCTGTAGCCCTAAACTAAACTTATCAATGTATGATTTTTTGGCGGGGTGGAGCCACGTGTACGCCGAATACCGTCTCGAGACTGTCCAGGGCAACCCCCCGCTCCCCTCTTCACCCATATCGCCCATGTGCCTGTCACATCGGACATGTACATTCCTCCTAGACCACATCGGAGAATAGCTAGAACGTCGACATGGCACGTGGGGGCGCCGTGGACCCCGAATTTAGGCGTATCTCTGCGCCAACCGGATGAAATTCACCCGCCACCGACTCCAAAGACACTCGCTACCTTTAGCGACACAGCACACATAGTTTGGTGTCGATTCGTCGCCTTTGGTTGAAGAAATGAGTGGTGTCGTAGATAAGGCTTAGCTACGACACCACTCTCGGGGCGGCCGGACTCCTGCGGGTGACGGTATCTCCGCAGCCACCGGGCCGATGCAGCCGAGTAGCAGCTTCCGTGATAGCTGAAGATCGTGGCTTTCCGATAAACTCGGTTTTACTGTCATTGAAACTCTGTGCGCTGAGATGCGGGTAGTGTCGTATCTAATCTTATCTACGACACCATCCCCCGGGGCGCCGTGGCCCTCGGATGTAGGCGTTCCACCTTACCCACCGGATGAAACTCACCCGCCACCGACTCCAACGACGCCCGCTACCTCTAGCAACACAGCGCAAATCGTTTGGCGTCGAATAGTGGACTTTGGTCGAAGAAATGAGTGATGTAGTAGTTAAGCGCTTAACTACGACACCACTCTCGGGGCGGCCGGACCCCAGTGGATGATCGTATCCCCGCAACCACCGGGCTGATCTAGTCAAGAAACGGCTTGCGCGACNCCGCCACCGACTCCAACGACGCCCGCTACCTCTAGCAACACAGCGCAAATCGTTTGGCGTCGAATAGTGGACTTTGGTCGAAGAAATGAGTGATGTAGTAGTTAAGCGCTTAACTACGACACCACTCTCGGGGCGGCCGGACCCCAGTGGATGATCGTATCCCCGCAACCACCGGGCTGATCTAGTCAAGAAACGGCTTGCGCGACAGCTGAGGATGGCGTGAACCCATTCGAGTCGGTTTTACGTTGATTCACGCTCTGCGCGCCGAGATGTGGGTGATGTCNAGTAGTCTTGTCTGCCATGATGATGGTGCACGAATCCCGACACACACCAGCGTGAATCGTGTGTGGTGCAGCTACGCGTACACCACAGAGGGGCAGCAGGCGTGCGACGGGAGTGACGATGATTGTACGTGCGGCCACCGTTCAAAATTTTCACGGGTAGGCTTAGTACAGTATCTACTATTAGTACTGACTCGAGTATTGAGTAAGTATCTGGCCCTTTTCGCCCAGTAGAGTAATACTCACACTTTAGTACAGCGTTTCATACTCTACTAAGCATACTGTGGCGGTTTAGTACAGCTATTCATACTCTACTAAAACTTTTGTAAGAACGGCTCTTCAATACTCTACCNTATTGAGTAAGTATCTGGCCCTTTTCGCCCAGTAGAGTAATACTCACACTGTAGTACAGCGTTTCATACTCTACTAAGCATACTGTGGCGGTTTAGTACAGCTATTCATACTCTACTAAAACTTTTGTAAGAACGGCTCTTCAATACTCTAC